TTCGTTTTGGATAAACAGACCTTTTTGGCAGTGCATGAGGCGACTAAAGAACTTCCGCTTCAAGTGAGGAAAACAAGAGTTTTATTCCGGTTTTTTCGTTGTAAACAGAACAAAGGCGAAACCTTTATATCCGCACCAGGGATGTATTTSGTTTTACTCTCTACCTTGCTTATCCTRGGAACAATACCTATTAAAGGTAAGCCARAGTTCTATGTAATGTTGAGCGTAACCCAAAATTGATTCATGAATGTGCACACGAGATAGGACAGTCTAGCCAACACAAAAGGAAACACAGGATGAAAAATATAGGAATGAATTGTGCATTTACTGCGAACAACGAAATAAATGTATGTTATAATCGCACATTCCTAGCACAGAAATTGGAAAGTRCATAAATAATTAAATAACTACATATTAATTACATCAATTCCCAGAATCATGCCAAGATCGTATATACAATAAAATTAAAGACCAACAAGACTTAAAATTTATTAAGCAATCATATCATGAGGTCTCGGATTAAATATGAAGATAACAAAAGAGAGCATATGTTAGTATACGTGTCTCAGGATCTTGTGATTCTTTGAGCTTTATCCAACTACTGACTAGATTTTAGATTTTACAAGGTATTTTCTAAGCTACAAAATCAGTTCAAATTCTATTTACTTAAGCTTTGACATTAGAAGCAGAATTCCTATTGGTGATGTTACTAAAAAGGGCGTAATCACGAATTAAATTAACAACGTCAACTTTAAGATGACGCAGTACAGAAAAACACTTTCAAAAGATATATCTTACTTCTAGCGTAAAGTCCTACAATTCAAAATTAATGATTCGATACTAGATARATTTTCCTATATACCTTGCTATAAAATATTAAGTATTATTCGAATTTGAGCATAAACGAGAGCAATCTAATTTTATAGTTAAGTGTTTTGTAAACATTGATACGACCTGATTCTAGTTTAGGATGATAGACAAGTCCTTCAAGCTAATAGCACCTAAAGTAAACTTTTAAGGAAAAACAGGAAAATAGTCTTAAATAACCTWTTAGTTAAGTCAATGAAATGTTGACCTAAAGGAAATGTAAACAACTTATTRGGAACAACATGTCCTTATTGGTCTTTTAAATATATATTGACATTGTTGCCTTGAAAACTAATTAATTTTTAAATGAAGGGCAATTACGAGTAAATATAGAATGACTCTCGTATGCAATTATAATGATCTCGAAGTTAAACTGTTATCAATAAAGCTCTTAAGTTAATATCCCAAATCAAATTCTATATATCTTTTTTTTGTTTTGTTTTATAATGCTGAATTTCTAAATACCATAGCTGTCCCTATGATTCTGTTGTGGAATAAAATAGTCTATAGGAACAACGTGATATATTATCTAATTGAATATATATTGAATATATTGAGATTTTGGCTCCTTAACACATACTTTAATTTTGAACTTTGTCATGTAAAAAAAAAAATGAAATGATATGATGCGACATCATGTCCTTAACAGCTGTTTCACATATGCAAGATACGACATTTCCGGGCTTCCAATGTTGCATTAAAAATAAACCATCCCCGCTCCCCTTCAGTTATCACTTATGTTAAGATCTATAAATCTATAAATTTGCATTCAAATATTTCTGAATAAGGGATAATATAACTGGTCGATCAGTTATCCCGTCGATTATAGTAGGCTATGTGTGTAACTAAAATCGCCAAAATGGAGCTAATTCTTTGAGATTCGTGCCCTTATGTTATTCCAAATCATTCATTTGTGTAAGAGAATGCATTAGTACATTGGTTTAGGTTATAGAGGCTGGTTTAAAAAATGACTATCAGGGTGAATGTTGAGGTTTGTAAACCTTTATGCAAGTACATTTTCTAGCCAGATTGAGTCACGTTTGCAGCCGTGCGTGATGTTTAATGTGTCTTTTTCTGTTTCTTTTAAAGTGCACATGACACCTTTTAGAAAAACACTTTTATCCGAAAGTTTACACGCTGCCAACTACTTCTGCGAAAAAAGAAATAGATTTTGAATTGTATTTTCTGCGTTATAGACATTTGAAAATTGAAAATGCAAATGAAGTGACGTCAACTAAGGAATKGATCCAGTCTTTTTACATTGTTTGCGCTATGCTGTTCTTGGTTGAAGAGCACAAATCATCAATCATAGTAATAATTGAGAGCTGAAAATGCTTTTTCCAATGTAACAAAAAGAATAACGTTCTCTTTCATGATTTTGTATATTAAATCATTCCTTAGTAGACGTCACTTCATTTGCATTTTCTAAGTTTTAATCGCCCATAACTTACAAAATACAATTTGAAATCAATTTCTTTCTTCACAGATGAACTTAGCAGTATTTTCTCTTTTGGATGAGARTGAATTTCTAATGGTGTCATGTGCACTTTAAAGAATTGTCAAAACCTATTGTATCTAGAGAGCTTTTAAAACTCTTTTCGTTTTGTTTCGTCGATTATAGTAAGCAAGCACATGCAATTTCAACCCTGCTGTCAGGGTGAAGTTACAGATGTAAAAGAATATGATTGCCAGTTACAACTCTCATTGCATTTCTCTATCCGAGAAACATCTGCATTCTTTACTAGGATTACAGTTCATGTTCAGAGGGGTAATGCTGTATGGCAGACAACAAAATCTAAAGTAGGAGAAATAGGAGAACCGTCCATGTTTGAAAATTGGCTGCAACTTGGAGGCTATTTCCCATCGACAATAGCAGGGCTGTTTACATGTGCGATTTTAGTGGCTTGAGCTATCGGTCGTGTAGTGAGACGAAATAGAATAACATTTAATTATGGGACATTTTTTTCCGGTCGTCACAATAGATATACGAGATAACTCCAACCCACGGTAAAAATAGTTTGAACTAGACGCTCTAATATTATATTACACTGCACGTTACTTGGCAATTAGCAGGCAGAACCTGCAGAACCTTGAACCTTAGTAAATATATACAACTTTTAATAGGATTAAATAAGACAATTGGCACGGTGAATACGAAGATCGGTAACGACTAGAAAAACGCAGAGGGCTCACGTGCACATCGTGCGTGCACGGCCAAGCAAAGTATGGAAAATGCTTGCGTTTGGAATTCCTACTACACAAGCGCTTTGACTAAGAAAAGACTTTCTAGGCGAGTTCCTCACCCTCAGTCTGTGTCGAACTGTGGAAGGGCCATTCCCAGAAATTCGATACAACATGGCGCGACGCATGCGCATTAATTATCTGGTCGGCTAATCCACGGCATTTTAATGAGCAATAAAATACAAAGAAATGTATGTAATACTTTATTCATCTTCAAATATTTCTGTTATTTTTGACGTTCGAATTTTCCCACAAATCGTATTTTGAAGTTTGATGTATTGTCTTTGATATGGCCGGTTCCAAAACCGGTTCCAAAATCAATTGAAAATACTCACCAAAATAGCCGTCAGCCGCCATACTTTCCTTGTAAAAACACTATAAAACACTTGACATCCGGTTGTTGAGATCCTCATAAACATGTCTTAACTACCAGATTTCTCATCCCCACAAATCTTATTCGTTAGAACACATACTAAGCTACATTTCTGTGCCAAAAAAACATAAAAACACTTGACCTAAACCGGTTCCATTTTCCTTCGAAGATCTGCCATTCTTTGACCTCTCGGATTGTGGGCGAAGGTCCAAGTCGATTTTTTTGAGCAGAAACAAGAGATTTAGTACTTCTACATGATCTAGCACGCCATTTGTTTCTGTTTATACCTTAGTAATTTCCCATGTCTCTTCATGTAGCAAAATAGGCATTTTCTAGCAAAATAAGCATTTTGGGTTTCCTGTGTGAAAGATTTTGGCGGGGATATCGAAACAATACAAAGAAGATATGTCAGATGAAAGAAAGGCGTCTCTCTTTAAATACAAAGAGAAACTACAGTTCAGAGAGCATAAACTTAGATATATAAGTGGATTTTTGGCAAGAAAACCGCTTTTATGCTGTTAAAATCCCGTGTCCTTGCTTCACTAATACATGAGCCCGCGTGTTTACATCGAACCGCTGACTGTATCAAATTTCTGGGAATGCAGAAAACAGTAGAAAGTATACGGAGACATTCCATCATTCAGCGATCATTCGTCAATTCTTTTTGTCCAGAATTTAGCTATCTTTCATTGGCGAAAGATATTATAACAAAATAGTGAAATAGTATATTATATGTTTATTTCAGAATTAAAAAAAAAACAAGAATAATTTCAAAGTAGCATCRTAAGGGTTTCTGTTGGATTTTCGTAGATGTCGGTGTACTCTTRAGATATCTGTTTTGTGGATTAAAATGGCAATTTTTTCTACTAGTTTGTTGCTTTCGATTTTTGAGAGAAATTTGTTCGGCTTTTCCGCATTTCCTTGGCTAATTAATCCGTTATTCGTCCTATKTTGACATTCCTTTATTGGTCGTTTTTAGTGACAAACGTTTTTATTTATAATGACCAGAATTTTCAGGTTGTCCGAACAACTTGAGTAACCTGYCCGATACATACAATCAGGCCCTAGCAAACCAGCCTTGATCAAGTTTCCATGATATAATATACTGCTAAATATTACTTCTTAGATTTCTTTTCATTAACCCGCGAAGCGAAATGTAAAAGTCGAAGTGTAAAAATGTGCCATTCAAATGGCCAGCCCCTTAATTATTGGGGGAATTTCTACAAGGTAAAAGCTTGTAGACGTTTGTTAACCTTGCAAATAATTGTTTTGAGCTCGACTTAAATGAACACCTTCTCGCCTACTGAGACAGTATTGTCGTAAGGGACTGCGCAATATTTATCAGGAAGTGGGGAGGGGGTAATAATGAGCCAAAAAATCAAAAAAGTAAATAAATAAAGAACTTTTGAGAAGTTTTCGAGTCTGACACTATTTATTTTTCGTTTTCAATGAATTACTTCTAGTTAATTTTAGACGTTGTCCCCCCTCTTTGAGCACATAAAGTTAGATGTTGCCCCCCCTCTCCTGGTAAATATTGCATAGTCTCTAATTTAAGTTACTTTTCATTGTTCTGCAGGGTGCATTACCAATCTCAATGGAGATAGTGGGGAGCTCTCGATCAATGAAACCTACTTGAGTAGACCGTTAAACTGTTCGTGGACAATTGGCAAAGGCACAAGTGATATCGACTTCATAGTCATCAAATTCGAACCCTTTGATCTGGGAAATCATTGCTTGTAAGTAATGTATTTTTTTGACACTGAGTGTTTGGTAAAGTAAACTAAGCAAGCTGTGCTTAGAAGAATATGAGGAAAGAGATGGTCTACGCATGGCTGATGCATTTTTCGGCTTTTTTATCTTTTTGTTTGTAAGTTTTCGTCAAGTACATATTATTCGACATTCAACTTTTTTTGCATGAAGTTAACTTATTGTGATAAAGATACTTAAAATGCCTTTTTATTTTTGCTTTGTTTATTTCTGCTACTGCAACAAATTATTACAAGTTGTCATAATTCTACATTTTCGTTTTCTTTTTCTACATAATTCTACGTTTTCTTTGCTGCAGTGCTGCTCAACGTAAATACGTCGAAATCTCTGATGTGAATCAACAGTTTAAAGTCAAAGAATGTGGTGGGGGGCGTCCATTTGAAGTTTTGATCAAAAGGCGATCGGCAGTTGTCAGATTTTACTCAGAGATAGCCTGTCGCTGGGGACCGTATTCGTCTTGCAGCCACGATAGTCAAAATATTCGCCTGTCTTTCTATGTTATTTCAAAGAAACTTGAAGGTCAGTACCTTAAGTAATTTAGTATAATAATAATTATTATTATTATGGTAGAGTCATTTTCGTTCGTCTAATAAGGCAAACTATAACCTACTACATCCTAAGAGTTAGTAGGAATTGTTTCACAGACGGATGAAAATGACTCTATTGGGGGTGCTGCGGCTTTTGACGTTGTTGCTGTTGTTGTTGTTGCTTTTTTGTTTGGTTCTCTAGCAGACAAAGAGCTGTTGAGTACTCCAGTTTCGAAAAACGATAAACCGTTGCTTTATTTGGCAACAGATTCTCTTGCGTAAATCATAGATGCGATTTGACCCCCGTAAAGACCTGACCGAACACAAAAGAGAGCACGAGAAAATATGTCGTTATTACAATATCCTTGAAAACCTAAAAATGCGAAAGCAATGGTAATGCATATTGAACTTCTAATGAGCATGTGCATGTGCCACAATTGAAAGAATTTTGATCCCACACAGAAGAACGGCTTGTCTATGCTAAACTAATGTCTGCAGATTGATTCAAACTGATATAAAACCTAGCAAAGGTCGATGATGCGACATTAAAACTGAGGCCTTTGCTAGTGTTTGGTTGCATATAAATGCCCGTCATCTGACTCAATAGATCGATGCTCATTGGACTTGAATGGCTCATGAATTATTAATGAGTTCTAGAATAGCCATTGAACAATTTTTCATGCACTTCAATATGATTATTTTTTTCTAATAATATCCTTTCTAAAGCCTGTGATTTTATGTTCAAAGGTTTGAGTTCAAAGAGCTGGAAACCTACTATAAAAC